CTGTGGCGTTGGGTCCTCGTTCTGAAGAGGGCGCCCCGCGGCTCTCCTCATCCTCCTCCTCCTCCTCCTCTTCCTCCTCCTCCTCTTCCTCCTCTTCCTCCTCCTCCTTTCGTAGCCAATTTTGGCTCAAGTCAAGATGCCGCGCTGCGGCCGCATGGAGACCTCTGGGCCGAGGACAGTCTCCAAGATTCTGGCGCCGCCTCAGGGGCCTCGCGCCAGTCCGCTGCTTTCCACAACCAAGTCCCGCGCCGGCGCGGGCACTGCACATTCGAAGACCAGCCTGGCGCAGATTGTCGCTGGCGGCATCCACATATTGCTCATTCTCATCGCGCTCGGGCAGGTGTCGGTCGATTCGCTGCCGCCGCAGCTGTACGTTCGTCCTGGAACACCGCTTCGGGCACCGCGCGCTGGTTTCGGCTCGGACCTGATCACTGGCAGCAGGCACAACAGCAACTCCTTCACGCAGACGCAACGCCTGCATCCAGCAGCAGTTCTCCCTCTTCCGACAGCGCTCGAAGACCTCATCCTCACCCCCGTCATCGTAGACGGCAAGACAATAGCAAGTCCAAAAATAGAAGCGGAGGTGACCGCAGCGGATCTACACGTGCCCACCGACATCGGCGACACCGCGACCGACGGGACAGAGAGAGACGGGACGACGACAGAGACCGCGACCGCGGACCTACAGGACATTGTGAATCAGAACGAGCCCCGCATCGATCCTAAGGACTTTCTGCTTCACGTGCACACGCGCTGGCTGAACGAGGCCCTTGGCGAGCTGCAGCGGCTGGCCAACAACAGCACACGGGAGCCAGCGGTGGACTTGCTTGGCCCCACGGACCTGAATACGTTCTTCTCCCACCTCGTGCCAGACGTCAAGTTGCGGAAGATTTGGACATGTTTCCTACGTTCCTTGATGGAAAGCTGCCTGCCGCTGGCACGCCAATTGGTGGCTTACCTACATGGTGCTCCTCCTCTGCCTGACGACTTGGCTCAATTGGAACAAAGGCTGGCGGTGCTGGGAAAGGAGCAAATCGCGACGGCGACGGCACAGCTCATGGCAGCGGCAAATTCTCTCACTGCTCAGCAGCAGCAGGTGCACGAGCTCCTGGCGGCTAGCAAACAGAACGCATCCCACCTCGAGGTGCACGACAAAAGTATTCACGAAATGTAATCTCGAGCAGACAAAGCGGAAGCATATCAGCAACGAATGCGACAACAAATACATACGATGGAACAAACCCTGGCTATGGCAGAAGCGGCAGTCCCCTTTGACGTCCAAAAGCTTGCGACGTGGGACCGAGTACCAGACCCTACAGTGTTCAGCATTGGCGCCCCAAGAGCAATGGCGCCAGCGGCTATCAAGACGGCGCTGGCTGAATGGATACATGCTTCTGGAGTTCCTGTTGATCAGCTTATTATTCATGGTGATGTGCCTCAGCGACGGTTCCACATGCAAATTCAAAGCGGCGCCGCTGCCCCTGCGCGAGCCCTTGCACTCTCAAGAGCTCTCAAGACATCAGCTGGCTTTCGTACCTTCAGCGGCTTCGACATAAGAGGCGTCAATACTCAAGTAAACGTCAGCATTGACAAGAGCCCCAAGCAGGTCAGATAAGAGCTCCAAACAAAAACGCCTCCAGCGCATCATCCAGGACACATTTGCAGATCATCGCGTCGAGGCCCCACGGGCCAAGGGCATCGTCACCTTCGGTGCAGTGCCACTCGTGGTCGTCGAAGTTCAAGGACCTGATGGGCCCTCCAAATTCCGTTGGGACATGCCCATCCTCGCGCGCCTCAAGATTGACAAGCAACCACTGGTGGCTGCGTTTGGGCCAGCGTTCGCTAGCTTGGACACGTCTACGTGGTCTATTTAGCAGACGATGGTCACCATGGACCCCTGCGCTGGAGCGGCGCAGCTGCGCGATCGTCTCTTGGAAGGCCGGAAGCCTGCTTGGCTTCAAACCTCACCGTCGCAAAGCCAAGCTTCACATGCTCGCCTTGCTCATGCGTAAGAGAGCAGAGGTACGCTGGATAAGCTGACCGCTGCGCTGGCGACTTACCCGTACCCGTGCAATATCTGTTTAAAACCATCTCTCGCAGAAGGTTGGTGGCGCTGCATTCTTGGGTCCCATGATGGCCAGAGGCCAGGATGACCCTCCTGTTCGATTTCAGCATCAGGTTCTAGCTCCTGGCGGGGCTGCCCTCCTCACCATCATACATGGCAAGGACAACTTCACCATGGAGATTGTGAGCGTTCACCACTTTGAAGTGGCCAGCCGAACGCAGGGCGAGATACAGGCTATGTGGGGGGAGCTCGCCGATGGGAACCTTCAAGACCCCGCTACAAGAGCATGTCTGGCTGCTGGTGACGTCGGCGTCAAGTCGGGCCCGACGCGCAGCTACGTGGTCCCCATCTCGGAAGACTTCGTCCCTGGCGCTGTTCCTGGAGCACGTAGTCGTGGATCTCGACCCCTGCTAGCATATTGGGAACGTCTCTTGTCCGCGTCCATTGAAATCTCGACAGACTGCCCCGCGCGCTATTGCAGAGACACTGCCACCGCGGCCACATTGGACCGAGTCGAGCGTTTATCGGAATTCCAGCCCACTTCCTGCTGGGCGTCGAAGTTCTAGTTGAGACCGACTTTGACGCGGCCGCCATCTCCGACCCCAGGCTCAGTGACCACAGGCCGATCGTTCCTTACCTTCGCGACCGCGTTCGGCACGAGCAACAAACCGGCATTCCTGGGCATGTCTTTCGCGACCCGCGCTGCGGAGAGATCTTTGGTCAACTTCTTGATGCGGCTCAACTGGATCGATTTCCAGTTGTGCTTCAATGGCGCTGCATGGAAGACGTCATGGCAGAGGCTGCTCGCCAGATCCGTGACGAACTACAGCGACATCCGATCTCGGCCGAAGACTCCCGTGCAAAGGGAGGACGCATCATCACTCTTAGAGCGATTGCCAGATGTGTCTGGCGCAACGACATCTACACGGCCCATGAGATGAAGACCGCCGCCGCCGACGGCACGCGCATCCTCAACGTGACCAACGGCGCCGTTGATCTCGTCGACAGGCAGGAGTTCGCCCTCATCGTGCGCGCCACCAACTACGAGTTCGGACAGATGGAGGCAATGCACAAGCTGCTTAGACTGCCGCCGACCAGCCCCCGTCTTGCTGATCTCAACGCCCTGCCGTTTCTAATTCCCATTGCCCCGTCTCCTGTCCCACTGATTGGGCGGGCTAGCAGCTGGCGCACCTCGTTCCGCACAATGAGTCATACCTGGCAACGTGCCCTGCACAGCTTGACAGAATATGCCCAAGACAATGCGACGATAGTTCGCCTTCATCGCAGGTGAATGTTCAGCGCCACGCTGGAAGCATCCGTTTTCGATTGCGCAATCCATGGAGCGAGCGAGGCCCCCCCCCCTCCCTTTTCACAGATAGCACGGCTGGCGCACTGCATTTCGCGCGGCGCGCGAGCACGTCGCACTTGCGCTGCGGGAAGCGCGCCGCCCACTCCCACCGCGCATCTTCGCACGCACGCTTCGAGCAGCCGGTTTTCCTGACCCTTTCACTACGACGCTCGGTAGGCGGCTTCTCGCGTGGGAGGCCCCAACACCTGGGGGGCTGAGGTCGGAGGGCGGGCGGTGGAATCTCTGTCAGACCTGCCGCGCGAGTCTCAAGCCCGCATGGCAATGGAGTGTTCCCAAGACCCTCTGCGGAGCGTGGACGACCACGAACAGACTGCACATATAATCGTCGCTTACGAGCTGTTCCTGGGGCTGCACATAGCCCGACGAGATTGCACACTACCTGCGTTGTCCGAGAACTTATCAACATTTAGCAATGCACCCTACCTGGGGAAGGCGACATTTTCCAGGCTCGCCGTCTGTGCTGTTGGGATTGGGGGCGGCGGCTGACTACGGGCGGGATCGGAACTCCCGTGCGAAGAATGCCTGAAAGGCGGTCGCCTTGGCATTCCATATGTACCACAACGCGAAAGACTTTGCGCAGAAGACGCCGATGTCTTTTGAGCGCGCATACGATATTCGGAGCGCTGCAAAGCTGGCGCTCGAATGGTGAGATGCTCCCGTCGAACCCGTGCTTTTCTTTGTCTTTGTCACTATTCTGCGGGTGGTGGATTGGCATGGAGGCGGGACTTGATTAGGGGGGGCACGATCGAGGCACCCAATGCGTCTGCTTGATGCGGTCGAGGACTCTCCCGCAATTCTGGACGGGGACCGCGTTGCCGTTGCCTGCGGTTCGGCTCGCTCTCTCGCTTTGCCGCTCGGCTCTCTCTTGTGCCTGGGCGGGGGACTCGGCCTGCAGAGAAATCGTATCCCTCTGTTTCGCCTCTCTCTGGAGGCATTCTTGTTTGACGAGTGGTCTGCCTCGAGCGCCTATTTGTGGGCTCCGCTGGTTGCAGAAGTGGCAACGGTTTTCGCCGCCCGTCTGGAGGCCGAAAAAGAACCCAAGCGCCACCCAGCAGGAGCCCACTCTCCCTCTGTCGATGCTCACGCGTTGGCTGGGGTTGAGGCGGGCGGTCGGACGGACCTTTTCGGGTACGTCGTCTCCTTCTCCTCCTCCTCCTCCTCCTCCTCCTCCTCCTCTTCCTCCTCCCCTCCTCTTCCTCCTCCTCCTCCTCCTCCTCCTCCTCCTCCTCCTCCTCCTCCTGTCCTCGTCGTCCTCCTCCTCCATCCATGTCTCTGCCCCTCACACGCTCCGTGGTCCACGGGGGAGGAGCTCCACCGAAGCCTTGAGAGTGGGCGGGGAAGGGGGGTCGCATGCGAAGGGGGGTCGCATTCCACCCCTCACACGTCTCGTGGCCACACAGGGGACTCCACCGATCCTCCCCGCTCCCATCTTGGCATCTCAGGTGGGGTCTGAGCAGGTGGGGTCGGAGGATCGCGCTGCATCGCCGATGCATCGGTGGTGCGCCTCGACGTGGAACCCGATTTTCTCCCCGCCGACTGCACCGATATATCACTTACGTCGCAGGGGCAGCGGCTGCGCATCGGCGATGCATTGGTGCTGTTGCGAGACCTTCAGACCCCATCTATTCGTACCACATTCGGCAGCCCTGAATCGCAGAGGCGACGGTCGCTTGTTGGGGAGCGTTGGGCGCAGAGCGCGACCCTCCGTGGCAATTGCGCTGGCGACAGGTGGTGGCTGCCCGCTGTCTGCGAAGGCGCCTGACGTTACCGCTCGGAATGGACTCGGTGGCAAGGTTGCGTTCCGGATCGAGGCGCGCCGTCGACGCTCCTCGCAGCCAGCAGCATAGCATCGGACCGCACGTTGCGCAGCATTTGGCCGCACCTTCCGTCCGCGGGGTCGGAGGTGATGGGCTCGGAGCCGGGAGACGGGGGAGGAGGTGGAAGGTTGCACAGTGGCAGATTTCACCCTGGTGCCGTGTGCTGTTCCCTCCCCCTTGCCTGTTGACGATACCGTCGATGGTTCAGCTCTGCATCTGCAGCCCCGCGCCCCAGGCATACGCGGTCATGGACGTCACGATGGGGTCCCCGCCTGCGCTCCTGAGGCTGCACCGCCTCCTCCTGCTTGAGGCCGCGTGCGCCCTGGTGCTGCTTCCTCTGCAGGCCGTTGTGTGGCTGGCGTCCTTCTCGGGGCGCACGGAGGTACGGAACATGGGAATGCTTCTTTTCATTGTGGCGGTGCCTATTGCCGTGACGGCGCTTCGCGCTCCTCTGCTCGTGCGCATCAACAGCAGGTGCTCACAGCTGGTGTTGGCATCCGAGCTTCAAAATGCGGCTGTGGCCACTGGCATGGTGCAGCTGCTGCGGAGTGACAGCAGCAGGCGTGTCTGGATTACTTCTGCCGCCCTTGCGGGCTGGTATGCGTTTGGGGTATCTTGGAATTACATCGGCGAGCCCTGCAGGGCAATCACGGAGCCCATCCGCTTCTGGAAGATGAAGCCGGAGTCTGCGCCGTGCGAGTGCTGGGAGACGATCTGCACCCTCCTCCTGCTGGCGAATGGCACGCTGGGCGCGCTGATCCTCGCGGCGCCCGCCGCAGTGGCTGCCTTCCAGAGCCGATTCATGCCGTCGCGCTCCAGGGGCATCCCGGTGCGGGCCCTCGCGTCGTGCCTGCCGGAGCACGTCATAGGCGGGCTGCATGTTCGCAAAGCTTGCACGGGGGGGGTCGGCAAGCGGCGCGGCCTCCGCCACACGTTCGGAGCCCGGGGGGGGGCGCGCCGTCCATGCCTGGAGCCTTGGGGTTGGGTTGCAAGTTCTGTCGGATGTTGCCAGAGGTGCCCCTCGCCGAGGATGTCCCCAGGATTACACACTGCTCAGTTCTAATTCTTCGAAGGTTCTTTGATTTTTTTGGGGGGCCAAGATCCTTTCATTTCTAATTCTGCTATCCTGGGCCTCTTCCTGGCCACTAGGGGGCCAGGAACCATTAGAAACAAGCACAATCAGAAATAAGCACGATTAGAAACGAACGACGTGTAGAGCTCCTCGATCTGGCTGGACAGCTCCAAATATCAGCCCACCATCTCCCCTATCGTGCCCGCAAAGGCCTCGCAGGAGTTGCCACCGCGCCGCCACTGGTCCGGCCTTGGATGGGGAAGAGGAGGAGACGCAGAATGCGGGGGCGTTGTGGCCTCCATGCCCCCGCTCGATCTGCCTGAGGCTGGGCACGCAAACCCCCCTTGTGGCGCCTCGCGCCAGGGGGGGCCCATGGGGTGTGTAGATATTCTGGCCGGGCCATGATTCAGGAGGAAAAAAGACAGACACAGACAGACACACACACACACACACACACACACACACACACACACACACACACACACACACACACACACACACACACACACACACACACATACATACACACACACACAGACACACACACACACACACACATAGACTTCGTCTCCCAGGAAGATCTGAGAAAATATGGGAATGGAGGGGAAGACGAAACTCCAGAACATCTGGACAAAAATGGGGAATCCTGGGGTTTGTGTCTATTCATTTGTGTGCCCCTGGGTGCCTTCAGTGATGTCTCCCCAGATGTCATGGCACCGCTCCGCCTGTCAGCGCGTGCCCTGGTCGCCCAGAGCCATCCGCGCAGGCGCCTCGCCCCACGACTCGCGACCCCCCCTCTTGGGCCCCCCCCCTTGCTTGGACTCCCCCGAGCTGGTGCTGGTGGCGTCGCCCCGTAACCTGCTCCTGCCCCGCTCCTCCAGGCCCCCCCCGGGCAGGTCAGGCAGACCGCGTCGTCGTCGTCGTCGTCGTCGTCGTCGTCGTCGTCGTCGTCGTCGTCGGCGTCGGCGTCGGCATCGGCGCCGTCGCCGTCGCCGTCGGGCGCGTCCAGAGCGTTCCGGAACGCTCTCAGAGCGTTCCAGATCGCTCTGACATGGCCGCGCCGCCCGATGCGACTTTTGGATCCGCCGATTCAATGATCCCCGATGCGCCCCCGTCCGAAGGTGCCCGCACCTTACGATGTTCCAACGTACTTGAGCCTTGATCACCAGGCCAGAAAGAATTTCGAGCACCAAGAAAGTACCGACACTTGAGGGTTTTCACGTGTCGGACCCTGGGAGGCGACACTCGTTCGACATTGTTTCGACACTTTTCTCTGGGTGCTTTAAAATATTTCTGGGATGTGGTCCTTACGTGCGATGGAAGCAGCACAGTGCTCGCCCTCCCAGGGGGCCGAAAAAGGGCCCTCCAACCACCCGCGAAACCCCCCCAAAAGAGGTAGCACCCGAGCCTGGCCCGAGCCGCAACATATTCAGCAGTCGTCTTTGGATGGGCAGCTACTGATGGGCGAATCCGCCGCCGCCGCCTCCGCCGCCGCCGCCGCCGCGCCACCGCCGCCGCCGCTGTCCGCCGCCGCCGCCGCGCCGCCCGCCGCCGCCGCCGCCGCGCCGCCGCCGCCGCCGCCGCCGCCGCCGCCGCCGCATCGCCGCCGCCGCAGCCGCTGCCGCCGCAGCCGTTGCCGCCACCGCCGCCGCCGCCGCCGCCGCCGCCCGCCGCCCCGCCCCCGCCGCCGCCGCCGTCACCGCCGCCGCCGCCGCCGCCGCCGACGCCGCTGCCCGCTCCGAATCGCCCGCTTCCGCCGCCGCTGCCGCCGCAGCCGCTGCCGCCGCCGCCACCGCCGCCACCGCCGCCGCTGCCACCGCCGCCGCCGCCCCCGCCGCCGCCGCCGCCGCCACCGCCGCCGCCACCGCCGCAGCCGCCGCATCCGCTACCCCCGCTGCAGCCGCCGCCGCCGCCGCCAAGTGTCTGTATAGTTTTTTGACAGGGATGGTGGGGGGAGGCCGCATCGGGTTCGCTGCGCATGCTCCGAATTTGGAGGCGGAGTGTGTGTTTGGATTGTTCTTTACAAGGGATGGTGGGGGGGGGCCCGCATTGTCCCTGGTTGGCTCCCAGTGGCTTGGGGGAGGGGGTGTATACTAATAGGGAACAGTGTTAAACCCTTCCCCGAAGGGGAGGAGGGGTGTTTGGACGAAAGAAAGAATACCGTTGGACCACCTGCGCCCAGAGGGGTGGTGGGATTTCTGGGGTGTGGCCCTTTTAAGTACGATGGGGGCAACAGAATCGTCGCCCTGCCTTCGGTAGAGGGAAACAATTCGTGAACACCCCCCCTGCCCCAAAAACTCAAAGTTGGCACGCGCGGGGGAGACCGCGGTCGAGGTGCAACCCATCAGACCCACCGCCAACTTTGAACATTGGGGGGAGGGGGACACGTTCACATATGAATGTGGCACGAGTGTTCCCTATTTGTTTCCAAGGCCTGTTCGTCCCAGCCTTCGTCCCTGCAGGGGCCGAGGGGGCGCCCGGCTTCTCGGGCGAGGGCGAGGGCGGCCCGTGCGCCATCTGCATCGAGCCCCTGCGCCCTGGGGACGCGGCGCGGCGGCTGCCCTGCGGGCACTGCTTCCACAGCCCGGGGGTGCGCCGAAGAGGTGGCTGTTGGGGGTCGCGTAGGATGAGGAGGAGGAGGAGGAGGAGGAGGAGGAGGAGGAGGAAGAGGAGGAGGAGGAGGAGGATGAGGAGGGAGGGGAGGAGGAAGAAGGAGGAGGAGGAAGAAGGAGGAGGAGAGGAGGAGGAGGAGGAGGAGGAGGGAGGAGGAGGAGGAGGAGGAGGAGGAGGAGGAGGAGGAGAGGAGGAGGAGGAGGAGGAGAGGAGGAGGAGGAGGAGGAGGGAGGAGGTGGAGGAGGAGGAGGAGGAGGAGGAGGAGGAGAGAGGAGGAGGAGGAGGAGGAGGAGGAGGGGAGGAAGAGGAGGAGGAGGAGGAGGAGGAGGAGGAGGAGGAGGAGGAGGAGGAGGAGGAGAGGGGGGGGCCTTATTTCGATTCCTCCGATCCGACTCGATCTGATCTCGATGGGTTCCGCTGCCGTTTCGGTGCGACTTTGGATGGCGCTTTGGGCTCCGGTGTCCCAGCGGAGGCCTATAACTACTAGCCTGCCGATGTCTGCCGATCCGACTTGTCCCCCGGGGGGGGGGACGGGGGCTGATATAGCCGGGGGGGGGGGCAGCGAGGGCTGCAGAAGAGTTGCCCTCTATAGGGCCTCCGATGGTGCCCTCCCAAGAGGTGGCGTGTGGGGCCCGAGGAGTGCACCCTTCTCTCTCTCTCTCTCGCCATATAGCCAGGGCCCTGCAGAAGGAACCCTTTTCGTTGGGGAGGGGCTCGGTGTTCCTTGATTGTTCTACAGTTTGCCTTCTGTTTTCCTGAGGTTTTCCATGGGAAATCGAAGTTCAATTTATGGGAGAAAGGGGCCCCGTTCCTTATTGCGAAGGCCTTACGGCCGGTGCCGCCGACCCTGGAGGCCTCACGAGGCGTGAGGTTGCGGCCAGGGGCGCCCGTGCCGCCTTCATGGGGGCGGCGGGCGCGGCTCGGCCCACCGGCGGGGCGGCGCGGGCTGGCTCAGTGCGCTGTGGTCGTCGTCGTCGTCGTCATCGTCGTCGTCGGGTGTGCTGTCACACGACGACGGCGGCGGCGACGACGACGACGACGACGACGCTGACGTGGGTGAGATTCCTGGGATGCTTCGTGGGGTCTCTTTGGAGCGCTCTTTCGGGTCTCTGGGGAGCAGTTTGGGGGCCTGTTGGGAGTCGCTTGGGGGCCTCTTGGAGCTTCCTGGGGGCCTCCTTGGGGCCTCGTGGGGGCCTCCTGGAGCCTCTTGGGGCCTCCTGGGAGCCTCTCAGGGCTGAGAGCTCGACATGTCAGGTCGGGTCCCGCATCTGGGCACCCTCTTGGAGCCGTCTTGGGCGCCTCTAGGACCGTCTTGGAGACGTCTTGGGCCGTCTTTGCGCTTTCTTGGGCTGTTTTGGGACCCTCTTGGAGGCCTCTTGGGCCGTCTTAGGGCGATCTTGGGGGCCTCTTGGCTTGTCTTGGAGCGTCGGGAAGGGGAAGAGTCGAGAACGCCAAAATCATTCAAAAAACAATAGGACATCAATGAATTTAGCTTCTTGGGGCCGTCTTGGGAGTGCTCCTGGTAGGCCTCTTGGAGCGTCTTGCAGGGCTCTTGGGTCGTCTGGAGTCCGTCAAGGCGTCTTGGACAAGTCGTTCGGCGATTCGGGGCCCTTTTGGACCGTCTTGGAGGCCTCTTGGGGCACTCTTGGCCCGTCTTGGAGCTTTTCTGGGCCCCGGGATCCCCGGGGAGGGGGCGTCGTATCTGACGCGCGCCCCCCCCCGGGACCCCCCCCCGGGACCCCCCCGGGACCCCCCCCCGGGACCCCCCCCCCCCCTCCCGGCGGGGGAGGGATCAAAGGGAAGGGGCTTCCCTTCGACTCAATTACGACGTTGCTCAAGTTCGGTTTGGCTGGCGCGCTTGAGGAGGAGGCGCTGGGGAAGGAGAGGGGAGCGGCGACGGGCTTTTCTGGGCCCCGGGATCCCCGGGGAGGGGGCGTCGTATCTGACGCGCGCCCCCCCCCGGGACCCCCCCCCGGGACCCCCCCGGGACCCCCCCCCGGGACCCCCCCCCCCCTCCCGGCGGGGGAGGGATCAAAGGGAAGGGGCTTCCCTTCGACTCAATTACGACGTTGCTCAAGTTCGGTTTGGCTGGCGCGCTTGAGGAGGAGGCGCTGGGGAAGGAGAGGGGAGCGGCGACGGGCCCAGGGAAAGGGGGGGCGCAGGGGAAAGGAGACGACAGAGACGACGACTAACGAATGACGGAGATGACGAGTCGAACGGACAAGCCCCTCACACACGCCGACAGGGTCGGCGGATTTAGGGTTCCTTAGGTCAACGCCCCGACTGTATCATCGCCCCCCATTGCGCGACGCCCAAGGTTGAGGCTCGGGGGCGGAGTTGGTCGAAGGACCCCCCAAAAAACATCGACTACGCTCAAGAGTGTGTCCCTTCGCCGGGGTGACCTTTGGTGCGGGCTCGTCGGGTCTCCCCGGTCGTGGAGCGCGGTGCGATCGTGGCTGCTTGTGTGCGCTCTGATTTGGCCACCTTGCGCCCCCTGAGTCCGCGCACCAAAGGTCACTCTTGCCTAAAGTCACTCTTGCGAGTGCAGTCAAGACGCTGAAATAAGGAACTGTTTGGGTTCGGAAGGGGCTCGATGTTCCCAGGTTCCCCCATTGCTGTCCCTCTCGCCCTCCTCGGGCACGGAGGCGCTTTTAGGGCCAAGAAGGGGCTTCGTCGTTCCTTATTTAGCGTTCCTTCTTTCAGGGGCCCGACTGTAGCCGAACAAACACAAAAACATACTTTCTCGGAGGTCCGCGCGGATTTCTCGGATCGGCGCTGGGCCCTCCTGGCGGCGCCGCCCCTGGCGCGCTCCGCGCGCCTCAGGGATGGGCGGCTCAGCGCCGGTCCAAGGAATCCGCGCGGACCTCCCAGACATCACGTTTGATGGGCCTGTCTTCCACCACCACCACCACCACCATCAGTTGGAGGGGGGGGAGGTCCTCCTCCGCCTCCTCCTCCTCCTCCTCCTCCTCCCCCTCCTCCTCCTCCTGCTCCTCCTCCTCCTCCTCCTCCTCTTCTCCTCCTCCTCCTGCTCCTCCTCTTCGTCCTCCTCCTCTTCGTCCTCCACCTCCTTCCCCCTCCAACTTCTGGTGGTGGTGGTAGTGGTGGAAAACAGGCCCATCGATGTTTATGCAGTTGTTTGTTCCTCCAGTTGGGAGAGGGGGTGACAGTCTCAGGGGGGGACACGTGGGCCCCCGATTCTAATTTATCGCCAGTGGGGCCCGATGGACCACCTCGAACGGGAGAGCGCGGTCTCGCTAGTTATCGGCGGCACATCGCCGATCCATCGGCCGCACACCCGCCGACCTATCGGCAGCACATCGCCGGTCTAAATATCGCCAGGTCCATGCTCACCCCCTAAGCCGGTCCACCCCTGTCAAGGGGTCGAACGAAATAGAGTAGATCGGCATCAACAGAACTGCTCGGAGGTCCCCGCGCGGCTCTCTTGTGTCGGCGCTGATCCACCTGGCGCGCTCCGGATCCGAGAAGTCCGTGCTGAATTCCGACTCTTTCAATCCGTGCCGCTTCGTGTTCTTCTGGACCAGGGGTGCGCGGATTTCGTGGTCGGGGCGCGCGGATTGGCGGCGGGCCCCGCTGCTGCGCGAGCTGGACGCGCTCCTTCGCCAAAGGAGGCGGCACTGACTTCATGTGTCGGGGGGGGGTCACCACCCACCAAACCACTCCAACCCAACCCGAAGGCCTCAATTCGCCCTTCATTTCCAGGAGGGGGTCCGGGAACGTCGAAAAAACACATATGGAGCCCATACCCCCCCCACCCGAAATTCGGGTCGTGGGCTTGGGTTGGTGTGGTCTGGTAGGTAGTCAGGGGGCCTTTCCCAGTCTGCGGATCTGGCGCCAGCGCGCCAGAACCACGGATCCAGATAATCTTCCACGCCAGCGTGTGCCCGACACATGCCTCGGGCCATGCTGCGCTGCCGGCCCCCCATGGCTTCTGGCCAGCTTCTGGCCCAACCTCGTCGGCACGCCCGGACAGCGGCTGCGTGGACTCTTGGCTCCGAGGGCCTGCAAACTCGCGGGCGGCGACGCCGACGCCGCCGAGGACGAGGACGTCGACGCCGACGACGAGGAAACGAGAACCCATGGGTGTTTGGGGACAGTTTCGGCAACCCCCGAACCAAGGGGCCTCTGGACGCGACGACGTCCACGCCGGCGCCGACGACGAGGACGATGAGGACCCATATGGGGCGTTCCAGAAAGGGCCTTGCCTTCGAGGACAGAAGGAGTTGCCATCTCTTCCGCCGCGGAAGGGCGGCGGAAGGGCGGTGGAAGGTCGGCGGAGGTAAACCGAGGCCGCCTCCGCCGGCGGAAGTCGGCGGAAGCTCGGCGGAAGGCGGCGGAAGCAGAACAGAGGTGCCCCCCGAGAGATGCAAACATGTTTTTGGTTTCGGGGTTCCCGAAGCCGCCCATCTGCCTTCGGTGCGGTGCTGGCCCTTCTTGAGCCCTAGGTTATGCATAACCGCCTAATATCTGCTTATCACTGTTATATTTGGATATATGTGAGGCGGACGTTAGGAAACTTGTAACTTAATTATAGCCTAGGTATACCCTAGGAATAACTTGAGTTAGGAACCATGGAACACCCCACGGCCTGGGTAGCTGGGGGCCTCCGGTGGCCTCCGCGGGGGTCCGCCGGACGCACCTCCGGAGGCTATAGCCGCTGGGCTCGAGGCGAGGCGGCAGGGCCCCCCGCGGCACCCCGGGGGCTCCTGCGCACATGTCTGGAGCGGCAGCGCCAGCGAGCGCAGGTGCGAGAGTCGGTGTTCTTAAGGTCGGGCCTGTCCCTCCACAGGTTCGATGCTCGTTTTGGGGACCTTCCTGGGGCCCACCTAATGGACCTGTTCGACTCAGGTTCGACTCAAGTTCGACTCAGATTCGACACAGATTCGACTCAGATTCGACTCAGGTTCGACTCAGCTTCGACTCAGGTTCTACTCAGGTTCGACGCAGCTTCGACACACGAGTGGAGCGAGTG